ATTGGACTGGTATTGAATCTGCAGCCTGGGCATGTGCCCTGACTGGCAATTGATCCACCGCTTTCTGGTGTATGGGATGATGTTATGCTGGTACCCTGACCCCAAATTCCAGCCTCCAGAACTGTGAGAAAAATACATTTCTGTTGTTTAAGCCACACAAATTTATGATCTTTTGTTGTAGCTGTCTGAGCTGACTAACATAGACTACAGTGGGGCCTTGACTTACGAGTGTCCCGACTAACGAGTTTTTTGAGACACCAGCTGTCTCTTGGCCGACTTTTTGCATTGAGTTGATAGAGTAATTTGAGTTAATGAGCTCCTTAATGAGCTCGGTCTTGGAACGAATTAAACTCATAAGTCAAGGCCCCACTGTATAATGGATATGTAGGTGGTTCCCCCCATTTTTGCTATTATTACTTGAACTTAATTGCCAAATCCACCAGCCTTTTTTCTTTTCCAGTTCCCATCATTCGTGGCATCTTGCAGCAACAGATGGTGTTGCTAACCCTTTCCTTGAAACTGTCTCATCCACTCATTTACTGGCTCATTCAACGTGTGTGTATGGGTACCGACTGCATGTGTGTGGTTTGCTTCCACACTGTTGCTTCTCGCTCTGTGACACAGGGTCTTTGGAGGCAAACAGGTCAGAGTTGCATTCTGGAGCTCGCGGCAATTAGCTGTGTAACCTCCCTGAGCCTCAGCTTTCTTTTTCTGTAATACTAGAGGCCCGGTGCATGAAATTTGTAAAAAAAAACTGGAGCAAGCAAGCCTCCTGCTCGCTTCAGCTGTGTGGCTGCCGGCCGCCATCTTTGTTGGCAGTTAATTTGCATATCGGCCTGATTAGCCAGTGGGGAGCATAGCTAAGGTACAGTCAATTACCCTTTTTGTCTTTTATTAGATTAGACTAGAGGCGTGGTGCACGAAATTCATGCACAGGTTGGGGGTGTTCCTCCATCTGGCCTGCACCCTCTCCACCCCTTGGGGGTGAGAGGGATGTCTGACTGCCAGTTTAGGCCTCAGACATCCCTCTCACAATCCTGGACCACTGGCTCCTAATCGCTCACCTGCCTGCCTGCCTGGTTGCCCCTAACTGCCCCCTCCCCCAGCCCCTGCCGGCCTGATTGACCCCCACTGCCTCTGCATGCTGGCCTGACCACCCCTAACTGCCCCTCCTTGTCAGCCTGGTCGCTCCTAACTGCCTCCCTTCCTCCCCTGCTGGCCTGGTCAACCCTTACAGCCCCCCCTGCTGTTCTGGTTGCCCCAAACTGCCCCCCCTGCTGGCCTGGTCGCCCCCAACTGCCACCCCTCTCCAGACTGGACACCCCACACAGCCTGCTGTTCAGTCATTTGGCTGTCTCTCACTAACCCCCCTGCCGGCCTGAGGGCATGAGGGTTAATTTGCATATTGCCTCTTTATTATTTAGGAGGATGGGAATAACAGCATCCGCCTCTCTGGCTTCCTGAAAGAATGAAAAGCAATCCTGTGTGTGCACCACAGGCGCGGAGTCAGTGCCCCAGAAGCTTCACTCTCCATCCCCCTTCCTTCCATCTCAATAAACATGGCCTTGTGGGGCATCATGCATGCCTCTCAGACCACTGCTGAATTGGAAACCGTGAAGGTGAGAGCTATAGTCTCTTGTAAAAGGAGACACATGCGTTAGCTAATTTGCTTGGCAACTATTCATCCAGCATCAGTATCATGCTTGGTGCTGTGCTAGGCACAAAGGGAGACAGGAGAAATACAGGCCAGGGTCCCTCCCTGGTCTTGGCGATGACAAACACAAAAGAACCCTCGTGATCCAAATGTCACCCGTGGTAGCTGCTGCCACTCACTTCAGAGTGACCCCTTTCTCCTACTGGCCCACCCCATGGGAGCTTTGTCCCTGTTTGAACTGTGTCTAATTTTGGATTATTATCTCTGCTTTCTGCATCACGTTGAGAAAGAATCATGGCTGAGAACATGGGCCGTGGTGACAGAACAACCTGGATTTGATTCTGACTCAGCCACTTACTAATTGTGGCCCCTTGGCAAGACACTTCACCTTTCTACACTCCACACACAGTCCTCATCTCTGATGTGGGGACAGTAATAGTAAACACCTTCGTTTGGTGTGAGGCTTAAGTTGGATAACATCTTTAGGGTGCTTAACCTAGTGCCTGGCTCATGGCAGGAGCTCAGAGTTATTAGAGGAATTCTGATTCCTCCTGCCCCGGGTTCCTGCCTTGTTGGATTTTCTCTTCTTTCCACAAATAAGGTGGAAAATTGGTCCAATGCTTTGGGACTAATGGCATTGTATGGATTACCTGGGGCTGTATTTCCCACTTTACTGTGCGTCAATCGTGTGACTGGGCAAGTCATTCAACATCTCTGAGCCTCAGTTTTATTATCTGTAAAATGGGAATAGTAACAGCACCCACCTCACGAGGTTCCTGTGAAGATTACGAGGAATCATGAACCTAGGGTAGTTGTCATAGGGCTTGGTACATACAGTACCCTCCAGAAATCTAGTCGTAGTGAGCACAACTTCATGCATTCATCCTGAGAAGTGATGCGGGCTTTATTGAGTCCACTGAGAAAAGTGGTAGCTGGCTGGAGGATGGAGATGCTGATGTGGCATTTTGAGAATCTCTTCTCAACTGCCTTTGAGATAGAAACAGATAGAAACTTCTCAATACTTAGAAAGGATCTAGATTAGCTCGGACTGTGATGTCTGAAGTTCTCTCTTTTTTATGATGTCTGAAATGGTTGCTAATGATAATGTCTCGAGTCAGTGACTCAGTCACTGTGGACTAGCACGCCGGCTCCAGCTTGGCCTCTCCACTGACTGGCTCTGGGGATGACAAGCAAGAGATGTGAACTCACTAGCCCAGTGGTTGGCAAACTGTGGCTCGCGAGCCACATGCGGCTCTTTGGCCTCTTGAGTGTGGCTCTTCCACAAAATACTGACTTCTGCGCATGGGCCACAAAGTTTCAATCACACTATGTGTGCGCCTGCATATCGTATTCTGTGGAAGAGCCATACTCAAGGGGCCAAAGAGCCGCATGTGGCTCGCGAGCCACAGTTTGCCGACCACTGCACTAGCCTAACACAGCTTCTGCGTTTCTCTGGGTAAGATG